ACAGTCACTGTGTTTGTTTTTGGGGTCAAGGTGGGGGGGGGGGGGGGCGGCCTTTACTGCATAGATGTGGACATGTGTTAACTGTAGGCCCAATAGTTTCTCACCTTCGCCTTTCAAAACCCGTCCCACAAATGGTCACTGCCTTGCCACGCGGCCACACGTGGACTCCTTGCTCCCTCTGAGCCCGCCGCAGCTCGCAGGACTTGTCGAATCTCCGGAGACCTGCATCCACTCGGGCCGAGGAACGGTGTCTTAGGGATCCCCTATAAAATGAGCGGTCCAGTGGTTTCCCTTTGAAACACCAGAAAGGCTATCAAGACAGACTCATTTGAGTATGTTTCGGAGCAGGCAAAGAACCCCAATTGGCTCAGATTTCAAGAGGAATGGAACACTCCATCGGAAGATGTCCTATTTGGACCAGCGACCCTTCCAACCCGCCCGATCTGCCTCAAGACACGGAAGCGCTGCTCGATCTTGAAGATTATCGGGCGATCTTTTGACCTTGCGGGAGCAAACTTGCCATAGATCCTCAGCGGATTTGTTTGTATTTGATGCCGGCACTATCAACACAAACTGATCCCACAACTAAATGGTGTCACTGCTGGCCACAGGATAACTTGACAGGAAAATCTGGTGCACTAGATTCTGCAAGGCATCAGGTTCTGTCCTGGCTTCCAAGCAAGTGGCTCGAGCGACTTGGGTTCAATCTCCTCCTCTATGGAAGGGCTGCGGCTGCGAAAGCTGCGTCGACTGCGGCGGTCGAGGCTGGAGTCGGAGGAAGACCGAGCCATGCTTGTCATCTATGAGGCAAGGTGTATTGTGCAAAGCTTGCTTGGATCAATACAGTTTGATCTGATGCATGCCGGGTACTCATTATTGTTGGTGCAAAAGACTCCTCGCCGCTGTCATTCATACGGTACAAGAACAACACACTAAGCAGCATTTGCTGACACAATCTCAATGCCTGCATGTCTACCCACAGCTTGAGCATCAAAGGCCCCGGGATCAAACAAGAAGCACCACCCAGAAGCCAGCACAGGCGCAAGCCACCAATGGCGACAAGCCGCACCGACCTCGCTTACCGCAGCTTTTCACCCCACTGAGTGGCTTCTCACACCAGGCTTCGACGAGGCAAGCTTGCCCAACATCCAAGTACCTCGCAGTGCCGAATGCCCCGCTCCTCCTTCCACTGGCCGACTCCAAGGCCGCCAACCTCGCCCCTCCATCTACCGCCAGCTCATCTCCTCTCCCCTCATCTCCTCCGTCTTCCATCTTCTCTCCGGTCCTCTACTGGGAGTAATCAAAGTCGTACTTGGCGGACTTCAGGCCCTTGGGCCGGCAGTCCAACGGCCCGCCCAGTTTTGCCCGGAGCTGCTCCACGCCCAGCGCCAGCTGCGCCAGGAAGGCCGCGTCCTCGCCCCCGTGCGCCAAAACCCCTCGCGGCATGGGAGGCGCGGTGGCCAGCAAGCACCGGTCCTGGCAGAGTCTCATACCAGTGGTGGTCCCCAGTTGGTGCCCCAGTTGGTCTCCCTCAGTTCCATTGTTCCCCTAGTCCGTTGCAGCAACGGCACATGGTTCACGTGAAACCTAGGGACTAGACTTCGGTCCCCTGCCTGCAGGGTGCAGTGTGATGGTGCGAAACGCACCTCCTCCACTGCACCAAAACCGCAACGGAGCCGAGACAGTCGCAGGTTCTGCAGGTTGTCCTCGATCAGGGCATCCGCCAAAAACCGTACTGTCTCGGCCCTTTCTTCATGCCTCAACTTTCGGGATCTCTCCAAATTCGCCCCACAAACCCCGAGAAAAAACCACCCCCAACAAAAACCAAACGCCCCACCCCCCCCCCCCCACCCCCCTCGGAGGCCCCCCCGAAGCCGACGCTCCCCGAAGCCGAAGCCCCCGCAGCCCCACCTCGAAGGCCTCAGCCCAGCGGAGCTGCTCCTCCCCGATGGCGTTGCCCAGGCTGCCGCTGGCCGAGCGCCAGGCGCTGCATCTGCTCATCAGCTCCACCGCCTTCACCACGGCGACGCTCACCTGGATGGGCAGATGGGAAGCGGCAAATGGGCAGCACGTGGGCGGCACATGGGCGATCTCGCCTTTGGGAGATTTATATATATATATATATATACATTTGGGGGGGGTATTAAAAAAAAGAAGAGGAAACACAAGTTCCAGATTTGGAGACAGGAGACGCGCAATGCGAGCGTCGAAAGTTGGTGACGGGGAGCGGTTGTGGAAAGGAACTCTAGTTCGGAGAAATCGCCACTTCCACTACCTATCCCAGATGGTTGCCGTAGGTACCCCCCTGAAGGGTAGGCGTGAACCTGAGACTCGTGATCTTGGGTAGATTTGATCTGAGCGTTCTTTTGTGGACAAATACTTTGTACTGGCCTGTGCTTGCCTCTAAGAGTCCAGGTTTACACATCGCTGCATCGCCATCTCAAACCAGGAAGCGCACCTTGCTCACTTGGTCTGCAGGCATTTCGATCGCTCGCTTAGCAAAACCCAATTTGGTAACACATGCCAGTGTTCAGGAAAGGCTTTAGGGTCAAAATACTATTATGCTGTTTCGACTTCAACCAATTGTGCTCCCTCAAGCAACCATCAGGAGTTCACAATATACCACGTGACCCGGTCCAACCCCTCATATTGAATTTAGCAATTGCACGTGGGCACTCCGCTGCAGGGTGTTAACGTGTTTGCTTTCCCATGGACCATCCGCACCTCCAGCTGCGATGAGTTCAGGTCGCAGAACTCTTGCACTCGGGATGCTCGGAAGTCATCCAAGCTCAACTTGTTGGTGCAGCATGTTGCGATGACCACACCCAGCAACTCTGGTCCAGATGATCCTGACGCTCGGAGCTTGAGCGCGCAGTCAATGGACCTGTCCACACCAATACCGCAAGGGTGCTTGGCGACGAGGGCGAAGCGCTGGAGGTGGTGCTTCTGTGCCAAGCTCGTCAAGGCCGACAGGTCAAAGTCTGCGATGTCTGACTCCACACGAATGACTCGTTGCTTGAGACTTTCAGGCAAGAGCTCCTCTGCACGTAGCTCCACTCTCGGAGACTCGCGTTCCACACATATTACCATGAGACCCAGCACCGCAGCGGCGAGCACCGCGCAGTTGGCATTGCCCGCTCCAATGTCCAGCACCCCGGCATTCGACAGGTTCCCCCGGAAAACGGACCAAAGCTTGTGAAGCAGGGAGTACTCCTGCGGCAGGAACTTGGCATTGTACTTCTCGGGGCGGAGCAAGGCACCCCCGAGAAGCGCCAGACCCTCTGCTGGACAGGGGCCGTGAGCCAATGGCAGCGTCCTGTATTGGCAAGATGTGCCAAAGACCTCAACCAAGGCCTCTGTGGTGGAAACTGGCCGGCCCAAATGCTCTGCCAACAAGTCGTTCAGAGATGTCAATGCCGAGCTCATGGAGTCCACCTGGGCGAACTCTCAACAATCTGGCAAGCTTCCAAATCCTTGCCTGCTTCTGCTGCTTCTTCATGCCTTTGCGCTCTTGCCGAGCATCGCGAAGCACCTCAAGTGCAGCCAAACACGCCAGCGCTTTGCGCAGCTTCGGAAGGCATTGTGCTCGGCTGATTGCTCCCAGGCCTGCTTCTTCTGCTGCCTCTTGGATAATTCTTGGCCGTGCCTCGGGCAGGCAAGCTACCGCAATCTTCGCACAGTTCCTAGGCTCGCCACCTGGTCTGCGGGCCGTTGGGTTCAGTGCTTGCCTCAATCGTTTCGCGACTAAGGCTGCAATAGAGCACGTCTGTTCCAAATGCAAAGCGCTGGCGTTTTGGCGATGCATATCAGGTTTCTGCAGGGACATGTGGCAACCTTTGGCCATCGGCCGCGGGAGCACGGAACCTGGACGAATAAGCCGTCCAGCTTGCACAAAAGGTGCCACCTACTAGTTCCCCAGGAGACAGGCTATGGCCAAGTCTCCCTTCAAAAAGAAGAGAGTTGACACGCAATCCTGAGCCTGAGCCAAGTCTGAACATGGCTCATGGGCTTGCCTCAACAAAAGGGGGAACTCCAAAATTGGCTTCCCATGTTGGTTTCCCTTTCGCCTCAATCGCCCCAAACGGGTACCCCAAAGAGACAACCCATGCGACTGGCCAAAACTCAGCTCGGCCGAAGGGGCCTAACCAAGGTCAGCCCCGGCCACTGCCTCACCACCTTCACCCCAGTAGTACATCATCTGGCGCAGGAAAGGTCCGAGTGAGTGGGGACAAAACCCCCTTCGAGGCTTGGGTCTACCGACATGGTGACATGGTTATTCATATATATATATATAAATTAGACCGTTCATTGACCCCCCTGAAACAAGATAAACAAGGTACTAGAAGCGCCTACAAGGGCCCATCGAGGTTTGGGCAATGGTTCAAGTGGCTCTCACAATGGCACATTGACTCATCAAGACCTGGCAAGTGCGCAAAGCATTCTTCTGGCTACCCAATGCTGTGCAAACCGCTATATTCTTCAGCGGCTCTCGTTTGCAAGCAACTTCCGATGCGGTCGAAAGAAATAAAGCTGCAAGACTCCATCAGCAATTAGCAAAGGCGCGAGTCAGCTCGTGGCAGGATTCACTCGTGTCAAGCTCAAGACAATGTCAAGTTTCTCGGGTCGTGTCTGGGGCATCTTTGATCTGCGAACAAACCCCGGCAACTACTTCTGGTCGTGGAGCAAAACAGCACGAGCACCGTCAATGGTTTGCATCCTGGTCAACTCAATCCTGGCCTCGTCACCATCTTGAACTCCAGCATCTTGAAGGGTTCGGCGTCCTTCTCAGCGATCAAAAGTTGGCCAAACAAACGGAAGCCGACGACCTACAGCCCGGTGAACACTTCAGTCCTTGAAGCGGCTGGCCATTGTGTAAGAGCACGATCCCCCCAGCGTGCTCTTCGTCTCGCAGCATGTTAAGCCTTGGCCGATTTGTAAAGTGGGGAAACGAATCAGTGGATGGACAGCCTTCCTCATTCATCGAATCACTCTACAGTATTGCGCTGAAATAGACGCGAGAGTTGAGACTGATATGTACACAAGTGACCTGTCGGCAGTTTCAAAATACACATCGCTAGGCTTCCAACTCCCGGCAAAGCTGACGTGCCACCTGCAATCAGCATGCATATCCACGGTCAAAGTCATGGCTTGGAGGAAAGTCTTTGGACTGAAAGCACCAAAAGATCATGTGTTGACGACGAGCACATAGTGGGATCGTTGCATTGGGCTGCATGCCTCGATCACCGTCAGGTTGCTAGCTGTCACAAGCTCCTGACAAAGCAGGTGAAGAGCATTGGGTCAGAGAAGAACTTCTGTAATCCACAGAGCTATCTGGGATTGCTTCTTTGGTTCAGGTTGGAGGAGGGCTCCGGACATGATCGCGGGTTGCATGGCCCGATGTCCTTGCCACCGCCGCCACCGATCTCTGTACATCGTAGGACGCATCTGTTCTGTTGCCGCGATTCCTCCTGCACAAGTAGACTAAGAGCCAGTATGCATCGTCCCAAACCGCAAGGCACAGCCCACAGCCACCTGTAGGTCAACCCCAAATAAACGAAGGCTTTGGCCATGTGTGTATGTCAAGACTTGGCGGACCTGTTGGAAGGATATCAATATGAAATCTACAATTGAGTTTCGAGGGTCCGTGGTTTGATGCAAGATGGATCATAGTATCTGGTGGATCAATAGGCGAATGAGTCGCCTTTCCCCACCCCTGCACCCACCACTGTTCCTTCTCTCTTCGAATTCACGCGGGATTCTCAGGTGTGGGTTTGTCTGAACATAGGGGATCCCGAGACGGGATGGTTTCCTTGTGGTGTCCCTTGCACATAACATCCATTTGGGGGGAGGTACCAACTCCAAAACGGGCGCACTGTCTTCTCACAAGTGCCGACGCCGCGGCCTGCCGCCGCTGCTCGGCCTCTGCCTTGGCATGTGCACACCCGGAGTCAAGCGAATGTGGTCGATCTTCTTGGTTTGGGAACATGTGAGTCACAATCAAAACCCGGCATTAAAATCGTCTACCCAAAACCATGTAAAGAATTTAAAAGGCGGATATCCGCAGCTATTCCTAGTTGGGATCGTTCCTAACCTTCATCTACCCGGGTTTTGATTGTGACTCATGTTGAAGCGAGGCCAACCATACCAACCTGAAAGCCCATGGCCTCAGGCAGGCAGCTGGCGTCAATAAGGCTCCTGCATCCGCCTTCCGTTTTGCGGCCAAGGTCTGCTCCGCCTCCAGTCGCTGTTTTGCTTCCTCCTGGGCCACACGGATTGAACCTTTGCCCTGACCTTGGCGGTTATATATATATATATATTCTCTTGGGGCGTGGGTTTTGGGGGGGGTACCATATATATATATATATATATACATACATGGTACCCCGCCTTCCCAATCTTTACCTTCTTGAGGGGGGGGCTTTCCTTTTGAGAGGGGTTTCAACGGTTTGAACGGTTTCGGTCGGAACCTGAAAGGGGGGGGGGGCATTTTTCTGAGAAAGGATTTAAATGGTCTAAACGGTTTAAACGGTTTTGGGACCCTTTGGGGGGGGCCTCTGAGAAAAGGTTGAAACGGATTAAATGGTTAAAGTGATTTAAAGAGTTTTTGGCCTTGGGGGGTCTTTCCTCTGAGAAAGGGTGTAAACGGTTTAACGGTTCAAACGGTTTGGGGCCCCAACCCTTGGGGGGGGACCTTTTCCTCTGAGAAAGGGTTTAAGCGGTTTGGTTCCAACGGTTTGGCGCGACTCTCTTTTTGAATCTGACCAAACCTCAGCTTAGGACAGAGGTAGATCCAAACCTGAAAGATCCTTCGGGCCTGGTTTCAACATTGGACAAGTTTGGAGCCTGAAGCTTCCAGATTGTCTTTGGAAACGAGCCCTTCTTTTACTGCTTTCTCAAAGCCAAAAGAAGGCAGGAAACACCGCCAATACCCGCGAATTCTAGGGAAACAAATAGATATAGAAACGATATCCTTTTCAAAGACTATCTTTGATTGGAATGTGTCTTTCTAGCTAGACTTTAAAGGTGGTCTCCTTTTCTTCTTTTGAATCGATAAGGAAGTAACCCTAGTAGGATTTCCCGCTTAACAGCGTTTTGGGTGCCCCATGCTGGGCTCCAGATTCAAGAATCATAGTCCTGAAAATATTGAATGCTAAGTCCGAAAGCGCTTTAAAGTCTGCTTTCAGTCACTCGTGTTTGGTTGTGCACCTTATTATTATTTTGAAATTGTGTGCGGTAAACGCAGTTGATTTTTCAGCATATGGACATTCAACAGCTAAATTCGTCGAAAATGATTTAAAGAAATCCACGCCAACCCTCGGATATTGAAGAAAATACTGGTATCTGGTGTTGCATGCGTCTTAGTAGGTTTTGTGCAGCACAGATTTCGCTCAGGGAAGTTAGTTGTTTTAGCAGACAGTGTGGCATTGGTCAAGGCATATAAGATGTAAGCGGATCTTTCTATTGGTATTGGCCAAGGTGGGCTGATGAGAACCCACAAGATTTGTTCCTCTCGAGTCGTGATATTCGAAATGTTAGGTGCAGGCAATCATTGGTTCCATTGCTGTTGCGGGGGTTGTTCCTTCCTTGCAAAGACATGCAGGGACATCAATTTAGGGTTCCGTGAAACGTGTCATGCTATTGCATTTTCTTGCAAGCCGCAAGAAGACAAAAATAAAAAGAAACAAAATAAGAAGAAAAAACACGTGCGATCAGACGCCCGAGTAGCATGTCTTTGGCACTTCGGCCTTTGGCCTCGAGCCAGTGAGCCGACTAGCGTGCAAAACTGCTACACCGTCTTTGGCGGTGTTTCAAGGTGACTTCGCATCTGAAGACGTGCATCTCCACAGGTTTCTTTTCCAGGCCAACAAACCCAAGATCTCAAGGCCGGCGAAGGCGCTGCCCAGGGCGACAATGGGCCCGCCATCTCATGGCAGTCGCAGCACACGCCACCGGCGCGGCCAGGGCCAAAATCAGCAGCTTCACTGCGACATGCAGCACTCTTCCTCTCGCCTTCGCCGTTCTCCGGCTTAACAGGACCCAGGCGCAGCTCGCGGGTAGAGGACCAAGAAACATACCCAGGCCATAGAGTAACAACCGAGAGGCAGTCCCGTGGCCTCGTGGCCTGCCTCTTGCTCGACAATACCCGGCAACCAAATCCAGAATTGTCCAACATGATGGGGCTGCAGTGAGAAAGACAAAGGAAGTTCGGTCTGCCCAAAATGCTTCGCAAATGCAACACTGTGCCGCGGACAGCTTCTTCGAAGTTTGCCTTGCTTCCAAACCATTCCACGATGCAATGCTCGCTCGGTCGCACATGACAGGCCTGCCATTTCTGATATGACCAATGTCACGACAGCAAAGGGAGTCTGCCAGCGAGAATGTCGCAAGTTGTTCTCGCATGGCTTGCACGTCCCACACATATGCCCGCGTATGTGATACAAAGAAATGCCCAAAGGGGATCATAATGGCCGGAAAATCAAAAGAAGCCTCCAGCTCACAATGCCATGCAACAGAAAGATCCAGCCAATGATGGCAACAAAAGTAGTGCCCACGTTGAAGATGATGAAGAAGGGGCCCACGTGAGTAGGAACAATGCTCAGGCTCTTCAAAAAGCCTGCCCTGCCCGAACATGCCCCAAAGCCTTCGCACGAAAGTCACGTGTGTGTAGTGTGTGTGTGTGTGTGTGTGTGTGTGTGTGTGTGTGTGTGTGTGTGTGTGTGTGTGTGTG